CGTCTGCACGTCCCTGTGTGCGGTTTGGGAACGGGGACAGCTGCGAGGCTCCGCGTGGTGGCAGCTGCCGGGATGCAAAACTGATTTTTTATTTTTTATTTTTTTTTTAATTTTTTTTTTTTTAAGCCCCGCAGCCATCCAACAGCATTACATTTCAGATACCTCTTTGAAACCTCAGTTTCCTGTAGCAGGCAATGAAAGTACTGTACATGTGTTCTGAACATCAGCTCTCCTCTATCTATAACCTATCTTTCCTGAACTGAGAATAAAGATATATTGTCCCAGCAGCAAGTGGTAAGTTGAATCAAGGTGTCAGAAGACTGCAAACATGGTACAATTGACTTGATGTGCTGAATTAACTTAGAATATTTAATTAAATTGCCAAAAGCAATCGTGCACTAACTTTGAAAGAATCAAATTAACTGCCTATCAAATGTATTAACATTGTTAACAAGAACAGGCATTTAAAATGAGATTGGTTTCATTCATTAAGTTTTAATTTCCTTCTGTTAACTTTACCTGTTTCTGGATAATGTCACTTTGATTAGAAGCCTGAAGGGCGTGCTCACGTTTAATTTCTATCTGTTGCTGCTTTTTCTTCTGTTGCTGCTCCCTGAGCTGCTGAACTCTCTGCAGCTGCTCCTGAACACTAGCTGCTTGAACTGTTACCACATTCTGAATCTGGTGAGCCTGTACTGGGCTAGTTTGTTGGATCTGAATAGGTAACTGAAGCTTGATCTGCTGGGGCACACTGCCTTGTTGGGCTTGTATCTGAGCAACAACATGTGACTGAAGCTGAGAGAGAACTTGGACTTGTTGCTGAAGCTGAGGCACTGTAATAACTTTTGTTGGAGGCTGCTGAAGTTGCAGCTGAGGACGAGTTGGGGATTGCACAGGAACCTGATTTAAACTTTGAGTAGTTGGAAGGGTTGAGACTGAAGTCTGAACCTGAGGTTGTGATTGCTGCAGCTGAGCTTGAATTTGTATGGGAGCATGGGGCTGCATCTGAATCTGTTGTTGGGTTGTAGTCTGCACCTGAGCTGGTTGCTGAGGCTGGACTTGGGACTGGCCTTGTGGAAGGATTGCAGTCTGCGGCTGACTCTGGACTTGCACTGGAGATTGCCCTTGAGCCTGGGTCTGTGCTGGCGACTGAACTGGAGATTTAGACGATTGTGCTTCAGGAGTGACTGGAGAGTCAACAGATGCCGGGGTCTGAGATTCGGGCTGGGTCTGAGTTTCAGGCTGAAGTGCTGGCTGAGGTGCCTGTGACTGGGCCAGCGGCACCGGCTGAGTGCTCTGATTCTGCCCCTGAGGCTGGGCTTGCGGCTGACTCTGAGGCTGTGGCTGAGTCGGCGGCAGCGCTGACGTTGGCTGTGACTGTAGACCTTGCTTCTGTTCCCCTGTAGCTGTTAAGGATAAAACCAAGTATTCCAATCATTTCAAATGACACATCTGTAAATCGTACTAATTTGAACCTTTTAGAACTACTGTAAAGCTCTATGCAGAAATTCAAGAGATTTCTAAGCTTATAACACACTTCCAACAGATTTACTGCAGTAACAGAACATCTTCCAACTGCACAGAAACTCCCATGCAACGGAAATGGAAACTCTTTTTCTGCTGAACAGAACAATTCTTACCCGAGGTTGAAGTAGAAACTGTTGTCGTAGTTGTGCTAGCTGTAGTAGCAGCTGCTGGTAGTGGGGTGAAAAGAAATCTCTGAATTGTACCATTTGGCATAGCTGCTTGCATAAGCTGTTGTCCTGGACCAGGTATTACAGTCACACCCTGAGGGATTAATTGTAACTGACCAGTAGTTTGACCTTGTCCCTGAATTACCACAGTTAATCCTTGACTGCCACCCTAAAAAAAAAAGTTAATATTGATGTATTAGTGATATAGATTTTAGACAGACTTCACTGAAAATCAGAAGAATTAGGGGTTTGGATTTCCAAATTCAATACTTTTACCACATGCCATACTCCTGAAATCCAAAACTAGCATCTTGAGATTATGAAATACTGAAACATTCTTTCAACAATTCTATCGTCAACAGATTACTGGGTTGGAGTTAGTTACACATATTTTCATCCAAATATTGACAAGAACCCTAGCCAGAGAACAGCTAAAATAGAACAACTTTGTTCCTAGAATTTAGAAGTAATACAGAGCATGGATAATTTTAGACATACTATTAATTACTTTCTCAAGAATCCCAACAGTTTGTGTAAAAATTCTCTTCATTGACAACATTTCCTAATCACGTATCAGATCCTACCCAGCTGTGAGCTTTCAAGACTGACAGTTCAGTTCGTAATGTATTGAGAATTTCTGTTGTTTAAGCTGACACTTAGCTCACATCACTCTCAACTAAGTGATGGAGAAGGTAGGGTATTGTCCCACCACTCAGATGCACAGCTCCACATTTTGTGAATCCATAGAATGGAATAAGGTCCCTACAAAAATCCTTCTGAGTCTTTTGCTGTGGAAATGAATTCTCTGACTCTTGTTCCACATATAAAAAAAATCTTACCTGGCAACAAGCAGCCTGTACATCACAATAATTTACATATATTACTTACAATTTGAAGAATAGGTATTGTGGTAACTCACAGAGGTCTATTTTTACCCTAGGCTTGACTCTAAACTTATTTTTTGCCCACAGACCTTCAAGATCTGAGCAGAAACTGTAATAAGTTTTTCCTCCTCCAGTTCCAGATACTGCAATTTTTCCTCTGAGGCTCTGAATAACACGAATGAAAACTAAATCTTCACACAATCTCAAAAGACAAGGAACAAACATTACGCTCTGAAGGTCTATAGAATAGGCCATATAAAATAATTATGTCTCTTACTGCTATTAATGCAAAGAATTATTTTCATACTGCTAAACTTTCCTGATGCTAGATACATTACTGGGGAATACAACAGGAAGTGACGTTTAAAATTTCACATGTACTACTTAAGCTTCTTCCAGTTGGTAATTATGCTATCAGTCATCCTAAGTGAAGGCAGAAATGTCAGTTTATGAGCAGATACACTACACTGCAGAAATCCAAAGGGTTGGTAAGCTGTTATTAGCACATTTCCATGCCCAGAGGAGTATTTTACCTGTCCTTGTGTTAGCTGCGTGAGTTGGGCCATAGTGAGTTTCACTTGTCCCTGCTGAGGGCGAGGGGGCTGTGGTGTGGTTTGTGGCTGGATTTGCTGAGGTGGTGTCCCAGGACTCGTGACCGTCTTCTGTCCAGTGCTGGAAGAAGCTGTGCTGGTACTAGAAACTGCTGTTGAGACAGGCTGACCCCTGATTATTTGAGTCACCACTTGCTGTGTCTGACCTGTAAGAGAGTAATTTGGGATAAGAAACACGTTTCCAACATTTTAACCATTAACACAGCAAGCCTCTGAGTCACAACAACTTGGAATAGTGTATCATCAGGCAAGTGAAGCAAACACTGTAGTTTGCACATAAACTTTACTAACCATTTGTGTGGTTGACTGAAAAATGTCAGCAAAATGTTTTCTATTTTAATTCAGTCCAAATACTTACAGAGTACTTCAAACACTTAGCTTGCCTTTAAAAAAATAAAAAAAAAATTTAAAAGGCTTTCACAATGCACAATTATTCTAAACTTTGTTTTCAAATGAATGGACTTAAAAACAAAGCCTGCAACTGACACATTCAAAAGCCAGAAAAGGCACTTGTTAGAAGTCAAGCATCAAAATGAGGTATTTTTGCATTGGGACATATGATACAGAAAGTATTTATGGAGGAACAAACCATGGATTTCACACTGGAAGTTTAAATATTAAAATGAACCTACTGGCTGGAAGAATACCTTGTTGCACCACTACAGGTGTTCGAATGATGGTCTTTCCAAGTGTTGACTGCTGAAGTGGTGTCCGTATTACTGTCATACCCGGGCGGAGTGGTGTCCCTTGCACTACCTACATACACCAAAATGGAAAGCATATGTGAACTCGGGACAAAAGGCTGCTGGGATATACCCTCATGTTTCTTGTTTGATTTTTTTTTTTAATATAGTAAGAAATTACAAGATGCAAGCAGATCCAATATTTTTTCATCTATGCCCACACTGCTAAGGCTTCCCAAGCTCTAAAATATTCATTTTTCCAACTGGAAAGATCTGTTATACCTCCCCCTGGAATAAAGGATCCATAAACACTATTGTTGAGATGATCCAAAAACATCAAAAAGTGACTAGACAGACCTTTTAATATCTGCCAATAACTTAAAATGCACGAGCCCACATTTTTTGCAGTAAATAATCAGAAAGACATCTTACTTGTGAAGTGCTTGTTGTTCCTAACGTTCCTGTGGTATTTGGCCTAATGGTTACAGTTGCTGTCCTTGGCTGGAATGAAGTAAATGTTTGACTTGCACCGGTAGTTGATGGAATGATACCCAATACCTTTTGCTGAACTTGAACAACACCTAATTAAAGAAAAATTGAGAATACATTAATGACATAATTGCCAACAAAAGAAGTAAATGCAATGCCAGGGTGGCATTTAGAAATCAAAACTCCAGGGCTCTAGAACACCTTTGAGTCTTTCAACATTTCTTGGGAGAGCCTTTGTCATATTGTAAAAAGCAGCAGCATTACACTTTGTAAACAGTCCAACTACATTTTAAGTTAAGAAATAGGTATTTTAGAAAAGATTAAGGAAAAAGAGTGAATCTTCACAAAGATCAGTTTGATGGTAACTGCAAATAAGTCCTTGCATTGACACGGTGCCACAAATTAGTATTATACAACCATTAAAAGCTATAATCTGATTAATTTAGAATGTAGGAGACCAGTTTAAACATCTTTCACCTACAAGCTTGTGGTGCTAAAGAAAAGGGTAATGCTTTTCCTGTCACCTAAGAAATTTCAATACAAAACTAGTAGCCTTCATGATTTCCTCAGATGCTAAGTATAATGGAGACAGAGAATTGAGCTTTTCTGTTCAGTATACATTCACAAATCTCAAAATATTAAGTCGTCTTCTTGAGGCAAGAAGAAAAAATGCTAATCTTAGTTTGGAGCCGAACTCCTGCTCATCAGTGAAGAGCAGATGTAGGCATTAATAACTAAGAGCAGCAGCACTTTTTTTTTTTTTTTTGTGAAGAAAGTTGTTCTGTTGATGTATAATTTAGATAACCAAAAAAAAAAAAAAAAGCATGCTTCATTCCACATTGTTAAAAATAAAGCTTCCAATTTTGCACTATGAAATGCAGAATAATTTACAGGCAAAAAACTTGCATTTTTCCCCTACAGACACAAATATGCAATACAGGGGGAACAAGCTCTAGAAACTTGTATATATGTATATAGAAATATTTTCTCCCCCTTCAAGTCACAGTTTACTTCACTGGGAAAATAGTGTCAATGGAGAATTAATCAGCAAGCTGGAACACATTTTGAATTCAGTTCCCTTTCCCCTACCTCCTTGAGTTGATGGCACATTGACGGCAACAATCTTGCTGTTTGCAGGGAGTGGCAGCTTAGTTATCACTTTCCCTGCCATCGTTACTGGACTGCCTGAGATCTGGAAGGTCTGCCCTGTGCTGGCAATGGTTGTGGCTGAAGTGGCAGCTGTGCTAGTGGCTATTGAGGCACACAGAACAGTCAGTTTTAGAGCAGAATAATTAGTCAATGAAATGACTATTTTCAAGTATGAAACAAAAAACTACAGGATTATTTTTACAATAATTTTTGAATGTGTCATAGTTTCTTTGGTAAAGATTCTTTTTTGGAAACAGTATGTTACAGCACAGAATGCTTTCTTTCATTATCAATGATTACTAGTACAACAACTGTCAGTAATAAATGAGACAGGTCAGAAATAAGACTACCTAGCAAGTTTGAACAAAGAAAAATTAGACAGGTATTATCTCAGAAATGTCCTGCTGACTTAGCAAGAGAGTTAAGAGCAAAGATAACAAGAAATGTAATAATGCTATATATTCTTGAAAAGATGTAGGTGCCATACATAGGATGAACGCCAGCACATGTTCTTACCATGATAAATGGCTACTTGCCTGTTGAAGACTGGCCTTGTTTAACCCAAGTAGCAAAAGTCTGATGGAAATTCTTGTTCTGTTGGAATGTTACTGTAGCTGGAGAACCCACTTTTGTAGTAAGCACTACTTTGGTTCCAGTGGGCACCGGGCCTGCTAAAGGGCCTACCACAACTTTCTGTGGTGTTGAGACAGTAGTTGCAGTGCTGCTGGCTGTCGTGACTGCAGGGGCCACACCTGCTGCAGGGATCTGCTTCTGCTGCTCCAGCCGTTTCTACAGAATTCAGAGAAAAATGGAATGAAGGGATAATTAGCATTCTCAGATTTTGTAAAAGAAATGCTGTCCCTTCCTAGTACAGAAAAATAGGTAGGACCTCAGTTCAAGTTGTAAAGGACTGAAGAATAAGCTGCTTGCACACACTATAGCACGAGACTCGACCTGCAGAACTACAACTCTGCTTATAGTACATAGTCAGAAATTTTCCTTTATAGCATCTTTCAAATCCTCAGTTTATCTTAATTTCACTGCACATTTTACTTTAAAGAAAACTTATCAATTAGCCTCAGATTAATCCAAAGCATTAAAAACTCTGACAAGTATCCATCTATATTTGGCTCCGACCATGTGCAGACAGCTTGCATCTATGTCAATAAGCAATATGTTGTCATTAACACAGAATTTATTACTAGCATTCCTATGTTTAGAGCTGCTTGCACTGAGATCCTGTCAGTTACAGAAAAATTAAAGGAGGCTTTATCATTCTACTTCACCATTGAGAATGAAATTTTTAAAATTATTCTTTTAACTATAAATCCTGTTTGCAGCCTCCTTATAAAAATTAGGTTCAAAATCCCTTACCTTACCCAGCAACCTTCTGTGCTGTAAATGTCAAGAAGGTACATTAAATTTAGGGACCCACTTCGTAAAGGGATTTTAAAATTCCAACCAATCTAACATTCTCCTCTATGTTGTTGGAATTATCTCTGTATTTATTAATTTAAATTTCAGTGTTTGGTTAGCATCATATTGCAGTAATGCCCACGAATCAGAAATACCTATTCACTAATAATGTATTTTCTTCAGGGAAGATGAAATGAAAAAGGAATAAGTTGGAAAAAAAGCACAGTCCTTAATAATGTATGTGAAATACCAACATGGCATTGGGTTTCCTAATTTTAATTGCATACATTTATAGAGACATACACACTTCCATCTATACATACATATCTATATAAAATTATCAATAGGCTTAATTCAGCCAATTTAAGATAGAAAAAAAAAAATCAAAAGATCTAATTTGATTGAAGCATGAAGAGCAAACACAGTTGTATTCTGAAGTCAGCTATACACCAAGGCAGCTTTCTATTATACCATTCTAGAACACTGTTGACCTTACCTGAAGATTGGCGCTTCTCAACCTTCTTTTAAAACAGAAACAAACTAAATCTTTTTAGTGTTTTAAATTAGATGGAAAAAAACCAAAGGCAATCCAAAACAAATCTTTGCCTTAACCTCATTTCAAAGTAACAGATGTACACAGCATTGTTTGATGGCTTACTTTGCAAAGGAAGTGGAAACTATTTTTAAAATGGTATAAGATAGGGATAAACTTTGTTTCCCATATTCTAATGCATGTGGACTATCAGTGCATGGTTGCTGACAGGTGGGACTACCAATAGCTCCCCCACCTGCTGGGCAGCCAATCGTTGGTGTTTTAGTTGAGCCTCCAATTGGGCCTTGAATTCCTCTGCCTTCTTCTGTTCACTAACCTTAGCCTGTTGTTCAACTGCCTGTGCCTTTTCCTTCTCCACCCTGCCAAAGACACAACCGAAAATAAGTTATACCATCACATAAAATCCAACCATCAAACTGGATTTCATTTTATCCAGTTTAACTGCTCTTCTAAGAACAAATGTCAAGACTGAAGATCACTGAAAAACTGGTCATAGCTTTAAAAGTATTTTGAAATTAACTATTGAATTTGCATGCAACATCCCTGAAATATTCTGATGTTAAACTACTGCAACACCTTACAGGAAACTATTAATCGAAACTGGAATGTATAATTACACCTGAGACTGCAAATCTATGTAATGCCAATAACTTAAAACAATTATTTCCAAGAGACTCAAAAATATTGTTCCAGCTCTAAGCATGCAATACTGGAAATATTTATTTTATGACTTGAATACTCCCAGGCTGAATTTACCTTTACTTTACTTGTACATAATAATTTTCTTTGTATGATAGAAGTATTTAAACACATACTGTTTAAAGTCATGCCAAAAGCAGCCTAAAGCCTTTCCATGCATTACAGTAATAGCCTTTTAGTACACAACAGTGATTAGTTCATAAGCATGGAAAAATTAATCTAATATTCGTTCTAACAGATCTGTAAGGTCTGTGTAAATTAGTTTTGGTACCAGCAAATAGTTTAGCTTTACAACTTTAAGCCTGACTATTATCAAAAGGCACAGCAAAAATGCAACACGGATCCACTTTCACTGATTGTAGCTACCAAGTTTGCATTCTCCAGCGGCAATTGTCATTTCACACACACAAATTAAAGTGGTTTTCTTTAAAAGCTCATTTGAGTTCATTTACCTTTCAGCAAATGCCCTGATCTCCCATAGTTCCAATTCCTCCTCTGCTACCCAACTTTCAATTATAACAGGGCCCGTTTGCTTGGGTGTTTCTGGCCTTTTTGGCCTTAGTGCACTTGATCGCAGTCCCTTCCTCTGGGGTGTTGGAGTTTCTTTAGAGAACAGTCAAAACACAGATGTTACGCTCAACCATAAAACAAAATTCAAGTTTAAGCCAAGATTTAGTGTCTCTTTCAGTCTCATTTTATAAACAGAAAGGCCTTTCAGCTTCAGATAAATCATGTCAGTTTGTTAAATGTGTCATTTGTTTCCAATAGGCAAAGGAATCGTTTGTGTCAAGCTATATTTGCTCCCTTGATAGTCTGAATTAACAAAGATCCCGTTACCTTAATTTCTGTAGGAGCTTATGGGAAGGGGAAAAAGAAAAAAAAAGTATAAGCAAACATACCTTTCGGAGCCTCTGGTACACCAATGGGACAAATAATTTTTCTTATACAGTACTCTGACCGAATTCCATATGGACCAACATCTCTTCGCTTGATGATTTCTGTTGTTGTAATTTCAGTTTCAGATGTTTCTACAACAAATTAGTCCAAATATGTTACTAACAGAAAACAAACAAAAGCTACATCTCCAGTCAACCCAATATACTCAAGGTAAAGAAACAGCAACTAGTACAAACTCTTGACTAAAAAAAAAGTCCGAAACGCCATAGCTAACACCAAGACTTTACAGAAATGCTTGGAATGAGTGTAGTATTCAAAATTAACAGCAAGAATCTTTGCATTAAGAAACCCAGAAATTTAAAGTACTAATACCTGTACGTGTAGTTCCTCCTCCAGGTGGAGCTTTTGCTGCCATATCATCCCATTTGAGACATGCCCACAATAATCGCAGCATAAGGCTCACTCCAGCCAATGATTTTACTGTTTGAAGTCGGTACCTAACAACAGAGTATTCATTATGTTTTAAAGTAAAAATGTATTTAAAATACCTAACCAAACTAATGGGACAAAGGTTTTCCATTCTACCTTTACTGAACAATATAGAAAATTACTGACTAATAAATAGCAAAATTTCATGTTTGGGCACAAACACGTATATCACTTGTATTTTAAAATTCAATTAATTTCATCACACCCTTAACTTTTCCTCAAAAATGTAAAGTATGTACCTCCAAGTGATCCCAAAAGTTGGCCTTGGGGATGGATATGGCCAGATATCCAAGGCAGGCTTTGCATTGTAATTGAAATAGGGAACTTCTCGGATCCCTCCTTTTCTGGCCAGCTTTTTTAAGTCATCATTGGGTAAAACAAATATGCTTTTTTTACTGCTTTTGGTAACAAATTTTCTATAAGATGGTAAGGCAGTTCCAGAACGAGTTTTTTTGGGTCTCGCAAATTTCATTAACTTCACTTTGTCTTTTGTAGAATACTCTTTGCTGACAGTCATGGAAGTCACCAATGTGCCTTCTGAGGTGGTCAGTGAATCTGTTACTGTTGTTGTAACCACTGTTTTACTGTGCTCTTGTACAGAAATGACATCAACGTTACTGTCTGTAGCCGGAGTGGTAAGCTTTGTTACAGTAGTGGTGGTAGTTACAGTGGATATGGCACAATTTTCTGTAGATGACACTACTGTTGTTTTCTCATCATTAGAAGCTACAGTCTCTGCAACTTTAAACACAGTTTTGGATTCTGTAGACACAGTTGATGTTGTGGTAGTCACTTCTGTAATAACAGTCTTTATTTTACTTTCTCCATTAATATTTTCCATTTTATATGTCTGTACACCGTTCTGATCAGCAAAGTCACTACTCAAGCTAGACTCCTCACATGAGGTTACAGGTGATGGTGCACTGTTCTTATCCTCAACTGCTTCAGTTTCCATAGATTCTGTTTCATTATTCAGGTTATTTTCTTTACAGACAGTATGTGCCGGCATGGAGGCAGTGCCAACAAATGCCGATCTCTCAGGATAAAGCTGTTTTTCTTCAGTTTTCTGCACATAGTTGGGAACTTCATCTGGGGGCTGAAGACCCTTTCCAGACTCAAACTCAGGTGAACTCTGCAGACGTGACTTAGGATCCACATTATTTTTGTCCTTTGTGTCCTCTGTCATTATGTCACCATTCATGAATGGTTTTACTGAAGATTCCTTAAAACTCAATGGTTTTATTTCATGTTCCGGAATGGATTTATTAATATTATTAACTTTTGGTTCAATATCACCCCCTGACTTAGTTTCGCAGGTATCTTTAACTAAGCAGTCATCATTTGATAATACTTTAACATCATTGTCTTTCCCATTCATCTGAAATGCTGATTTTTCTTTTCCTAAGTCGGTCTCAGTTTCTTCATCTTTATTGTTCTTTTTGTCAGTAACACTATTTCGATTTGTCTGATCAAGATACTTGTTTATGGTACTTGTCTCCACTTTCAGTTCCTGACCTTTCTTTTGACCATTAGCCTCATTTACTTTAGAGCTCAGTAAATCCTCATCAACTTCTGCCCCATCCATGTGTTCCAGAGTTTGACTTTCGAGATTTCTTTCAGAAATTAGCTCTGTTTTAAATGGTTCTAGATCTTTATTAACTGATTTTTTGTGAAATATAACCTTGTTTTCAGATTTACTTTCAGTCTTTCCTGGAGCAGTTTCTTCCTCCATTTTACTTTCTTGAGAGGATGTTGGTTCAATATGGCTTTTTATCATACAATTGTTTTCTGGGTCTTTGCTCTGCTGTTCAGAATTTCCTTCTGAATCTGTTTTTTCAAGAACGGCCAGACCATCTTTTCTACAGCTTCTTTCGGTTATCACTGGCTCTAAGTTCTGACATTCACGCTGAGATACTCTGGTAATAGGTAGTTTTGGTTTCAAAGGCTTTTGGCTTCCGTCCGTAACATCCCATTTGATTCTACCTTCTGTGTTTGTTTGTTTCAGGCCATCCACAGAGGAATTCTCAGACTCTCCAAGAGCTTCTTTTCCTTGACACTTATCAGCAGTCATAGGTTCAGGGTTGTTTTCTTTACTATCATTCTGAATGGAGCTTTCACCTTCAGATGATTGAGATGAGCCTTCATCCAGTAGCTGGCTTTCTCTTTTTGATAGCCTGTTTGTCAAAGGCAAAGAGGGTTCATCTAGCTCACCAGTTTTGGTGACTGGTAAGCAGTCTTGTTCTGCATCTTCCATTTGGGTCTTATCTGAAATATAGGTTTGATCTTGGGAAGACATGTCAAACTGGCTTCCTTCTTTTACTTTTCTCATTTGTAGCTCATCTATGTTTTTCTGGGGGCTCACTGATCGTATGCCTACAGTTTTAGCACTAGCCTCCAGTTTCATCCTTTCTAGACGTTGTTTTTCTTCCAGCGTAAATTGTTTTATTCGCCTCTCAAGTAGTCCATCTAATTTTGATGATTTTACTTTCCTTTTGTAGCAAGTCCTTAAATGAAATCCCTCACTAACATTGATTATATCCAGCTTACAATGACTATCCTCATCTTTTACGGGGGACTCAGTTTTCACATCATCTACATCCATGGGTTCTTCCTTGATGACTTTATCATTTTCACCATCAATTTCCTTTTCCACTGTGAAGAAGAAATAACTGAATCAGTAAAAGCTGCCCTAACAATGAATGCCAGACTATATTTTTACATTAAGTACTAAAAAATAAATGGACCTTTTAGCATATTAATAGATTTCAAGGAAAAGGGAATAAAAACTTCAGACACTACTACCAGGAATAGTAAGTCATTTAACGGAGACATTTTAAATGTCTTGACAAAACCTGTTACAGAGTTTTTCAAGTTATTTCTGACATCCTAAAATTTATATATGCAATGTTGTAATGAACAGCTAGTTTTACAATAACTTAAGTATATCACCTTTGTCTTTTGCACGATCTAAGTTTTCAGAAGTGGTATCAACTTCTACTTTTTCTTCACGTGACTTTTCTTCTTTCACTTGTACTTTCCCCAAGGTTTCTGAAGCATCTGCTTTGTCTTTTGCTTGCAGATCATGAGAATCCTTTGTTCTGTCTTTCTCTATTTTTACCTTAATCGGACCTTTTCGTTTATCCAAGTTACATTTTTCATCTTCACTCTTAGCTATTAACAAATTAAATGGTTTGAATTATTCAGGATAATTTTTATACTCTGCTATATTTTAATGTATGTTAGTTTACCTCTCAAATGAATCACACATCATTACTGAAATTCAGAAGTAGAATTAACCATACTATGGTAATGTCATAGACTAATCTTAGTGCAATACTGAATTAAAGTAATAAGTAAAAAATAAATAATCAAAAACCTCACCAGAGATAAAATGTTTCATTTGCTTTTTTTTTTTACAGGATTCCATGTTCAGCTGTTCTTGAAAAAAAAAACCCCAAACCAACACATTTTTCAGGTAACTAAATACCACTTTCTGAAAACCCAGCCTGTTAAGAGCATACTAATTCAGATCCTGAAAATTCAAAAATAGTTTTTAGTAATTTTGATTTCTACAGTTAATCCAGAATGACATTAGTAATCAAATGACTTTGTGCTTAACACCGTAGTGGCTATTAATTGCAATACAGAAAGCAAAATAAATCTAATTTAAGAATCCTATAGACAACCCTAAAGGCAGCAGCACCCATTTTGTGTTTGATCAGTTACAAGTAACAGGGAAAGCAGTACTTCAATATGTGAGGAAAGAGATAATTTTGAGATGTAATATAGGGTGGGCTGCCATTTTCTAAATTTTAATAGGAAACGCAAGATTAAATTTATTATAAATAAGACACATACAGTTCAGGATGCATTCTAAAAGTCAACTGTGCTTATTTTTCTTTTTGAGTATAAATCCTTAGAACAAATAAATGAGAAGGTATGTTCTGAACTTTGTAGAGAAATAAATTTCTTTCCCCTTATAAAACAATTATCCCCAGATAAAATTGGTTAATGGTATTCTGTGGTCTGGGGGCAGGCATATATACACCAATATTTTAGATGTTATTTTTTGCTTAAGGCTACACAAAGCTGTACAAATATTACACACAGCTTCATAACCAAAACAATTTAATGTAGCTAAAAATGTCTATGACAACTGAACTGGTTATATTGACAAAGATTAGCAGATATCCACAAAAGCTTCTTTGAAACACTATTTGTGACAAAGTCTACAGAAGAAATATCACATGCAAATAATTAACTGAATAAGCCATAAAAAGCAGTATGTGAATAATTAAAAAAAAAAATGTAAGCAAGGCAGACACTTACTTGGTAGCAACTTTCTGTAATTTGCGTTAGTATTTCCAGGCAGTTTGGGCATAAACCTGTGGACATGTGTTTTACTAATCCAGCTCCAGCCACCATATCCTGTTACTCTATATTCCTCTCCTTTTTGCTTCCAAACCTGTTAAATAATTTTTAAATAGTAGTTTTAATGGTGCTATTTGCTGCATTATTAATGTATAAATTCCTTTAAAAGCCTAAGATTATTTTAGAAAACCAAAAACTTTACAGACTTGTTCATGCAAGCTGAAGTATATTTATGATATAATTATTATCTAAAGATATATCTGCTGATAATTAAATTGATTCTATCATAGCGACATCTGAAAACCGTATTTATTTCATATAACAGTGAGAATCTATTTACTTGAAAGCTGAAAGATTATACAAGTTTTTGAATCAACCTGTATGTTTGTTACAACAAATCAATTTAGAGCAAAGAACCACTCCAGGAGAACTATTTAATGTCTACTGTAGGGAATATGACGAAGTTTCTACAGTAGTTCCCATTGTATTATAGAACCTTCCAAAGTAAAGGGAGCTGGGCTAGATTTTCTGGGGGATGGGAAGTGAGGATGGGAGGGGAGCACTGGACAAGGACAGACATACAGGCAAGATTCCACTAGGAAAGGTTGCACTTTGAAGACAAAATATCTGTCAGCTCAGGCAGTGTCACTATGAGCATAATATATGTCAAACTTAGTTCAGACCATTATGTGCTTGCATATGTGGGCACAGTTCCTACTCCAACGGCAGGAAGTAACACAATGACATTAAATTTTTAAGTTTAAAATTAAAACAGAAAAGGAGTAAGAAATCAACAACTTCCATATTTGATTGTTCTTCCCACAAAAGAAAACCTTACCTGATGCTTGACAGGAAAGGTATATTTCACCCATGTAGCTTGCTGCATTGTTTCTTCTTCTTCTTGCTTTCTCTCTTTTTTTTTCACTTTCTCTTTTTCTTCTCTTTCTATTGCTGTCATCCTGCGTAATCTAATACATATAGATTTAAGTGCATTTAAACACAGGATCTTGTAAGCAAATACAAGTCAAACAGCAGCATATACTATCCCTCTGAGGAATTTTAAATATCTGAAGCTAAGAGGAATGCCTGGTATAGCATTATATGTATTCCTTGCAACAGGAACCCTACACTTTTTTTTTGGCTATTCAAGTAAGGCAAACACAACTGTCTGCAACTGTGTCTAACATCAGACACATCTCGTTTCTCCTATGGCATAATGAGACAAAAGACAGACTCCACTGAACTAAGTGTGTTGAAATTTGCTCTTCTAGACTCCCAAAGTTTTGTCACTTTGAGAGTGCTGCCCAGATAAAGAACACAAACTTGCTTTGCAGGAGCAATGACACTATAAAAATCTTGTTATGTATTTTCAGTGTTTCTGGTTGAGAAAAAACCACTTCAAGTGCTGAATGACTGACTAAATTGAAACATAATTCTTACAGGCTTTGAGGAACTAGTAATTGCAAAACAAAGTGAAGTTCTCATATGCAGAAAGATTTTTTATGTTGTTTGTTTTTTTTTTTTTACCTAGTGTGCCCCAATGATTCCCGCCAGATTGGCAGCATGACAACTGGTTTAATTGCACATTCCAATATAGCCAGCGCTAGTGCAAATTCTCTAGGTTTGCTGCACATCTGAACAGCTTTAATCCAGTTGGACCTAAATTGGAAAAAAAAGATAAAACCCTGAAACATATACATGCACTAATACAGCATGCTATGTTAATAAAATTTAATGGTAGTATAAAACCTCTTGTATTTTAACACTTCACTCAAATGTGCGATCCTTTTAACCATCTATCACAAAACACATATATGTTTTCTTATATTTTAATATACTAAAGCACAGTGCTTGGATATCACTGTTGTGAAAAAATAAAGACCATTGCTTATTAATGCTGTTAGCAAAAACCCAAGTATAACAAGAGAATATGTATTTTTGTTTATTAATTTACCTGTGGGAAGCCCAGTTAGGGTGAAGGAACGATGCTGGGATATTGTTTTCTAGCTGAATAATAGTTAGCCTCAAAGTGGATATGGTAAGAACTTTGGACCCATGTACAGACCCATTCCATTTGAACTCTCCAGCAGGAGTCAGACAGAATTTATGCGAGAGATGTCGTCTCTTGTCATGGTCCTCCCTGTGCTGGTGCTTGTTCAATGCGAATGAATTCGTGGCATACTGATTATGATAAACACGATATTTCCCCTCCTGTCCTAATTTGAAATAATTGTTGATATTTCCTTTCATCACAACTTCCTTCTTTGTGTTCATTCGGGAAACTTCACCTTGAGAGTTGACCACCAGAACCTTGTGAAAGAGAAAATGATTTTAAAGAATCACTTAAGTTTCTAATATTTCTATTTACTTATTTATGATTTAGGCTTCAACTGTCTATATATAAAATTCTAAAAATACCTTGCATCAGATTGTAGAAGCAAATAACTGTTTATCCGATATACAAACCATATGTACTTCATCACTGATTGTATATACAGTTAGGATATTCCCAAAGATCAACTTTAACATTAAAAAAACCACCATCCAGGCTCCTCAGGAAGTCAAACAGGAACCCGTTTTTCTGCTCTGAATTATGCCCCTTGAGGGAGACAGCTTTGGGAAAAGAGCTTCACTAAACTTAAGTAAGCTTTCTGTGAAACCCCGCCTTGGTAAACTGCAGAATTCATACGCGTAGCTAAGCGAAGAAATATCTTTAACTTTGAAAATATGGCATGGATAACATCACTGGTCTAATTACTCTTAAAAGAATTCCAAATTTGAGAGGTTTGTGACTAAACACGCTACATGCAAACTTACAAGGAAAAAACAGTCAACAAAAATAAAATTAATACACACACACAAATTAATAGAACAATATGCAGACAACTAACTGCAACAAACTCTTAATATTCAAAGAATTCTTTCCTGGAGAAATTGGGCTACTTTAAAATATAAAACAAAACAGAAAACCTACCAAACAACTTACAGCCACACAAAAAATTTATACCAACTGGCAGCCATTTGAAAGAGATTTCACTTTTGTCTACATCACGCTGTGCTACAATTTTGCAATGATTGCCTTTAAATAACCATACTCTGCCAGTAGAGATTTCTTATGAATTGGAAATGTGGCTATTACCTAGCTATTCAAACAATGATCAAACACAAACCGCTGTGAAGTTGCAGTTTTGGCACACCAGTTCTGAGAGATCTGAAGACAAAAGTGGGAGAAAGTGCATATAACTTATTCCTGGCTCTACAGTAAACAATTGTCTAACTTTTTATGACCAGCATGTTAAAGGAAAGGAGGTACACTGGGTCACTGTCATACCACTCTGTAGTTAGCAACAGCAAAGGAGAAGGAGTTAAAAAAACTTCCTGTGATATTACAGTTTCACCATTTGCTAATTTATTATCTCTACTTTTATTTTTAAGTACCTCGATAATCTGCCAAAATCAATTTTTTATTTTTAAAAATATTATCAGTTTTCTAGAACAGTTTTCGTACTTCTTTGAGTTTTCCAAGATGTGCACAAACCTCTCTGCCTTCTTTATATAACTTATTTGCTTCATGTGCTGCAGCAGCAACCTGCTGGCTTTTCATCTGGCTCAACTTGCTATCTGGATTTCGTAATCTTGTGAGCATTCGCGTCGAACCTGGCGTGCCTTTTCCTGCGCCTGGAGAATCACTTCTTTCGCCATTAGATTTCTCTCCTGCCCAGGAAAAAAAGGCTTTTAATACAAACTTCAAAATTGGAAGTTTTCTATTGATGTATGGGAGTTATAAAGTAAAAAGAAAATATGCATAAAACGAAAGTTAGAGACATCATTATTATTATTACCTATGTCCTCTGAAGTCTGGGATCCCCTCTCTGCATTTTCAGCATCATCAGGTGTCTTAATGGAGTCATTCTGCCCAGAGCCCAACTCACTACTGTTGCTGTTTTCAACATCTGACTGTAGAGGTGCAGCAGACGCACTGCTACTGTTGCTAGGAATCATCTGACCAGTTTCTTCTACAAAAGAACAACTTCATTTTTAGTTTTTCTTTTAAATTGGATCAATGCAATTTTTTCTACTTTTAAATTTTTCATCAAAGAAAAAAGTCAAATGAACATGTTTTGCTGGACTAGAAGGAAATACCCATAAAATATTAATTCCCTCCAGAGCACTGTATCTATGTAAGTTTTTTTTTTTTGTTCTGTTTTAAGCAGTTTCAACCTTTAAAGTTCTGAAGAACTGAAATCCATATGTGGATGAAATAGGAATATATTTTAAGCACATTTTTTTTCCAGTAGATACACACACAGAAAACCCTCTCCTGAGACTTTGTTTTGCTTTTAGAATGCAGATTTCATGAAATTTGGTCTTCCTGCAGCTTTTATGATTTTATCTCTTTTGATTTTCTTATGCTTTAGCTGTTCCTCAAAGCATACACCTTTCAGTTCCCCTCCAGTTTTCCACCAAGTCTTTGACTGTATCTTGTTCAGCATATTAATTCTGAGGAATCCCACAGATTTCAGATCAGTTGGCACCACTCTATCTAAACTCCTCCTTTGCAAACTTAAAATATCAGCCTGCCTCTTATGATCTGATGCATCTAGATGTTGCTTCCATCTCAGTAAGACAAATGGGTTCTTGGTCCTCAGTTGTCCTTGTTACTGTCTGTCTTGACAGCTGTGGACATTATTGCCACCTCACTTGTTGCTAAGGTGCCCAAGTGTGACCTTTCGACTGAAGCATCAGTCTAGCTACCTAGAAATAAATCACTCCATCTTCCCAGTAAGAACAAGCCACCATCCCTCAAAACAGCAATGTCTTCTTCATTCTGTGAGAAAGAAACACAGCTTAACTGTTTAAAAAATACAATATTACTCCGTTTCTAGAATTCTTCCAAAACATCAGGGATTCTGTCATTATTAAGAAAGGTGACAGGACAAAACCTCCTTTTGTGAAATATTCACTACTAGCAGAAAGACGATTAGGTAAATATTCTGTGTTTCTTACAAGATCCCTAACCTGAATGCACCATAACTTCTGGCTGTGGCATCTGGGTGACCACCACTGTATGATCTATTTCCCTTTTTACTAAGGAGAAAAATAGAAACATCTGTGGTGCCTGCTGCTTGGGGGAAAATGGAAACACCCAAACTAGACTCTTAAAAGACTCATATCCAGATTCATTTAACAAGGATGGTGACAGACACGTTCTCATTTTGCTTTGCATTTTACTCTTATTTTCCCCCTCTTTGGGGGTAGTTGCATCACTGATAATGGTTCAGTATCTCTCCCTCCGAGCGTCTCAAACTGAAATTTCGTAACAGGAACACAAGTATCACTATGAATACAGTAAATTAGACTTGAGGAAGAACCCTCTTCACACACACACCCCCCTTCCTATGAAAATGCCCACTAGTTTAAAAATAAACTTCTTGGAAGAAGAAAAGTACTTGTGAGAGTATAATAAAGAAATATTGATCAACATATAAGTGAATCTTTAAAATAAAATACAAACTCATAAATGTGTCTGGAACAAAGTTATAGGATATGTATCTTTCCCAATATAAAGTTATTTGAACTTTAAAATGGAACAACAACAAATGAAAACAGACAAAAATATTTGGTCAAATATCCAAAATATTTTTGTCCCATGCACTAGGACATTTTCTGTATTAAAGAAAAAAGAGTATTATGAGGCTTTGAGATTACAGATTAATCTTAACTTTCATTTTCTCCTCCTATTAACAAAGTTTACTATTACAAGGGTTGGATGCATTCACATTTCCAAGTTCAAGAACTGCAATCTGTATCTGAATGGGAAACTATTTCTGTAGGAGAGAAAATGTTTACTACTGCTACTGCTTTTAAAAACATAACACCCTGACTATGGCTACATTGCAATTAGAGTATTTTCAAATTTTTAAGAACTGAAAATAAAATTCTAATCACTTTAACAGTAATTAGGTGTTTAAAACAACATTTGGTTAGGTAGTAAGGTTTGTAATAGAATATAATTTTAAATGAAATAGAATATAATTTTAAATAGTACACTGACAATTTATGTTACACCTAATCAAGTTCCATTTATTCCTAAATCTAAAGTTTGGGGTTTTTTTTTGTTTTGATTTTTTTAATTAAATAGTGTATATTACTACTTTTGAATCACGGATATGGCAGAAAAAAACATGTTAAAATACAAGAGCCTCTGTGCTTCTAATTCTGAAATGTTTAAAATTCCTAGTATGACACTTTTAATCTTGACATTTCAGTGCAGTGGTTTACTCACATGAATGAAAATACTTTGTTTGTTAGTAATTTATACAGTAAATAAGAGGTTAAAATAATAAACAAGCCAGCAGAAAATTAGATTTTGAAATAAACTTTGATAGGATGCTAACAATCGTTATGGACCACTATGGAAAAATAAAATATACAGAAAATAGAACACAAAAAAGCTTAGCCATAGTCATCTTTGGAAGGCATGGAAACAAATGCTAATGTCACGGAGGGCCACAAATTTCAAGCACTAGTTGCAAGAAAATTAACTTTGAAATGTTAATGACAACGTAGCAGTAAAGGATGGCACTGCAAGCAAACAGCATGAGTGATATACGCTGTGAATGGTTTTAGTGGACGAACTGGATAGAAAAACTTAACAGATTCCCCAAATTACAGAGGCATTGGTAACAGTGCCTTCTGTACCTGAGAGTTCCTGAGGGAGCTCTGATGCCACCTTCTTCTCTGCCACGTTGTTGCTATCAAGGGTTTCTGACTGACACCCCATTGCGTTCTTGCCTTCAGAGCAACTAGTCTCTCCTGCAGAAGGATTTGTGTTGCTGTCATCAGTGCTTGATGTCACAGAGTTACTTTTATCCCCAACGACTGTTGCCTCTATAGTAAAACGCACAACAAAACTTTAGGGATATTCTTTAGTATGTCTTAGGATGTCATTTGGCATCATCCATAGAAAGCAACTTCAGCAGGTTTGTTTGTTTGATAACGCTGAAAAATACTGAGCTTTTTCCTTTCCTTTTTTTTCTTTTTCTTCTGTCTCAGAATCAAAGAACAGGCTATTTAATTCTGATGAGGACAACAATGTTAAAAATTATGTAATATTGCTTACTAAAAACGTGTTGTTCGCAATCTGTGACACCTGTACCTCAAAGCAAAGCTACCTGTATTTAACCTGAAAAGCAGGAAAACCAGTGAAATTACTTAACAAGAAAAACAATTATAATATACAACCACAAAGGAACTAACAAGTATCACCTATTAGAAAATAAAGAATCATACAAAAAAAAAAAAATCACATTAACATTTAAAGAAATGTGAAGATCTTAACTAAAGATTCACTTTACTTAAATGAAGTTGTTAAAGCGCAGTCGGTTTCTTTACCTTCTGTTTTCACTTTTTCCGCATCTTGCTCAGTGGATGTTTCCTCAGTTTTATCTTGGTCTCCAGATTCTTCCTTGCCTCTCTCAGCATCTGCCTGGTCATTATCAATGTCACTTTTGGCTTTTTCTGCTTCATCATCTGCTGTGTTTTTGTCTTCCACTATTTCTCCTTTTCTTGCTCTGATAATGTCCAAGATTTCCTCTATGACAGAAATTATGTTGTCATCAATAAACAACAAGTCACGACCTACAGAGCCACTGAGCAGAAATAACAAGCATACTACTTCTTTCCTACTTCTTTTCAGTGAGACAAAAGATAACATCCAACTTCTTACCACTTTTCCCCACCTAAAAGAAACACTTCCAAAGATTTATTTGTTGATTTCTCAGAGTTATGCATTTATATAGTGATGACTTAAATCCATTTTTAAACCTGAATATCTAATCTTTATGTCTACCCTGGAACCAAAGTTCAAACCTCCACAGATTTATATTGCGATTTATTGCTCCATGGTAGATAAATTAAGTTGGTGGAGAACTGCAGGGGAGATATGCATTCTTCCACACTGCCCATAATATTAGAGCTCTAATATTTTTGCCACTCTGACTCCCACTGGATTGTTAAATGCTTATTATATACATTTTTATATATAAAAGACAGTACATCAAGAAACATTTGACAGTTAACACAGCTCCACCCCAACACCTGGAATGACCACAATCTGGCACACCCTAAGCATATCAAGAATCTGAATCACTCAGGACATCCTGGAATACATGATACATAGTCCTACAAGAAGTCAGAACTACAGAGCCATGCTGGGACACCTGCATGACACTTCTCCATCAACTTCTATAAACTTCTTATAATAAAATAAATATTAACTAGTATTTGAGTCAAAGTGCAACATCTATTCCCATTAAACAAAACATACGTACCATTTGCTGCAGAAAGGAAAGACTTGTTGTTGCCCCTTGCTTTATTAGTAAGGTCTTCTGTCACATCCATGTGCCGATGAATTTCTTCACGCATTTCTTCCAGAGTTTTGCATAGGTCAGCTTCCCAGTAATCCTTGTCTAGGCATTCAATTAACTCTGCCAGCTGTATCTTTGTGCTATAGTACCAGATTTTCTTATCCTTCTCACTTTCTGAATCTTCCTCTCTGTAAGAGTATTTAAATATTAATTTAAAAATATCTGGATAAATGACAAAAATTAATATCAGCCTTTTTTCGCAGGAAACTATTAAATGCCAGTACCTGAGTGTGAATAAACAAGTCACCTGAGGACAGTCATATGCATCCAGTTTAGTATCCAAATACTCCTTTCTCACTTCCCCTCCCTTTCTTCATTCCCTCAGTTCACATGACAACTTCCTCAGGAAAGCTTCTGAAGAGTCCAATCTGGCAATAATGTTTATTCTCATTATATTTACTGTTACTGCAACCAGTAATCTGCTACTAACTCTCAAACTGCAATGAAAGAGGGTACAGCTCCAGAATCTATAAAGGGTAGTGTTTCTGACTGCATATTCAGGAAATAGCAAAGTTAAGAAATTCAAAGTGTGGAATGTCACATTGATAAAATATTTTACATTAGCATCTCTATGGCATTCACCTGTGAGAGCACCACTAAGGGACAAAAGATTCATAATAAGATCCTTTGAAAAGATCAAGGGGTTTCTACATTTTTTATCTGGGATGCTCCATGACACCACAAGCCCAGCCAAAACTACTGGAGAACCACATGCCAAAAGCATCTCTACAGGGTCACCAGACCCAAGGGTGCTCCGTGAATATCTCGGGTAACGCGCTCTCCCACAGCACTGGAGAGCGCAAGGAGGACACTCAGAGTGGTTGTGCAGAAGGCTGCCTGATTTCAGCTTGGCTTGTTAGGTCCTGCTTAGCCAGATCCAGGCTGGCTGGGGGCTGGACCACTCACTGCCACAACACACCCTAGCACTCCCAATATTGGGAACAGCATGTAGGGCGACACAATTATCGGCCTGGCTTTCACGTGGGGAAGAGGAGCAAAACTACTGTCACTTGTAAAAGCATTAGAGACCTATGGCTCACTAATAATCCCAAACCAAACTGTCAATAGGACTGGTAAGATAACTGTAGTTTGAAAGATCTACGCTGTTAAGTTTTGTGTTCCTCTCTACTGACTGCTTCCGCATGGCTTATACATTAAAGACAGTAAAAATTGACCTCAGATACTCAGAAAGACAACTGTAAAGCAAACTTGATTGTCATCTATCTACTATTTTCCACATTCTATTTATGAAACAACTGTAAAACAACTTAATCAGAACACTACTAAAATTAGGTGCTTATGAAGTCAATAATGGCAACATTATTCAAAATTCAACTACTCATTTGTCACAACCACTACCACAAAAGAGACTTTTAGTTTTGATGATAAAACCTTGTGTATTGCACAGAAATATTATAATTTCTCTCATAAAGGCCTTTGCTCATAAAAAGCAACTAGTTCTACTTTCCCCATTTATTCCTCTAGGCTACCAGTAACTTTCCATTAGTTTTAACAGGTTAACATGGCTAAGTTTGACAAGTTTTCTCAGAAAACAGCTAATTTCAGGAAGACTGCCCACATACTACACATCAAAAAGTAGCAGCTGAACACTGATAATAATTTGACACTATGGAATAGTCTATGCCTGTGGACTTCCATGTTAAAGAAAGATTATTTAAATGTTTCCTCTAAACCAATAAAATTATTTACTAACTTAGGAGTCTGGGCCACATTATATGGAAAAGAATGTAGATAGAAAAGTACAAGGCTGAAGGAAAAGTCAGCGCAAAAGAATGCAAATAGAAAAATACAAGGACAAAGACAAAGCAGAAGAAGGAGTAGCTGTACAGATAGCAAAATAGTCTATGTCTGTAGAATTCTGTGTTAAAGGAAGATTATTTAAACAATGTTTCCTCTAAACCAATAAAATTATTTACTAACATTAATAGGAATGGCAGTACATTTATTATTGTTTGTGAACAAAAGCCACAGAAAAAGATAACAGAATCACCCAAGAACTAAGATGGAAGAGGAGATGAGAATGCAAGAATACAGCTTTATACAGCAAGAGGAAAGAAAAGAATGAAACAAAATGCTTAACTAAAACAGACAGGGCCTTCTGAATTTTCCCTGCCCAATGTCCAATGGAAGTGGCGAGAGCAAGACACGGGCAGAGCAGCAATTGTAAAGTTGTTCTGCTCCTTACAAACACGACTGCAGGATAGAATGCTGTTGCTAAGTTTATAGTTTAATTATTTCTTAGGTCACCAAAAAGGGAACTTTAACCTTTCAATTTGAACCTCTAGCTCATTACACTACTATTTGCTAGACAGATATGCCATTTATACATCTTCTCACATGACCTAGATATGCAACGATATGAACGTTTTATATAGTCTCATTCCATGAAGTAAGGCTGTGCTAGTACCCATTTGCCAGACAAGCAGCTTGGGCACAGAGGCTTGTACACCTTGCTCAAATTCCGATGGTGATCATCCAAGTGTTTTCTTCTTTTTCCAATTTCTCCCCCCATTTAGCAAATCAAACTGATACAGCTATGCTAATGCATCCAGGATACATATGTATGTCACCTGAAAATCCCAAGAAGCATCTGTCTTCTCCTTTCACAACACTCCTTCCTGTTCTAGCGTTACAAGGCTCTACTGGACTGACAAGCAATTAGCTGTTATCTTCAATTTCCCCATATAACTCAAGAAAAAGCCATCAGTACCAGTAAAGGTATGTTGTGTTATAGGCCAATAAAACCCACAGGCATACTGTGAAGAATTGACACTAGACCACAAAGAGAGACTATTCTGCAGAATGCACCTAGACCTAATTAAATCTTTCCATGTGTGATTCCAGTCCTACTCATTAGAGAACTGCTCAGATAATATTTTAGAAATGGACAGTGAAGTTACCCAAGAGTATTTCATTTCCCTTCTACTTCATTTATATAGGGTTTTCAGCATAGAATTTCTCTTTAATTTAAGGCTATCACAACCTTAGTAGCAGTTCAGGAATTAGCCTGACTTAAGTACAGACATAAAATGAAATTGGCACAAGCTTGCTGTTATGTATGCTTACACAGTCATCTTTGGCCAGACTTTATTTTCAAGATTCAGGTGTATGTCAGTGGAAGCCTTGGAGTGCTCATTACCAACTCAGTAACAGTCAAAGAACTACCACAGAAAGCATTCTATGTGATCCACTTTGGCAAGATTAGTTTTAAGCTATTTCCCCAAACACCTTCCTGCATTGGCTAAAGGGACACTACTTTTACACTTTGAAGAGATCAGAGAGGCTATCATAAAAAGAAGATGGAAAGATGCAAGTCCACACAAGGACTAATTCCCAAAGTTTTTCCCTAACAAGCCAGGCAGATTTGCCAGTTTGGTGCTGGATGGGTCTCCTTAGTCTCCAGGGGACTCAGTTGAGTCACATAGATTAAGTGAGGCCAAGCAAGGGGGAAAAGAATCACACAAATATTTCCTACCTCTTTCAGTCTCTTTCTCTGCCAGGAACTAGTCACTGGCAGGCTTTAGAGGCAAGTTTTAAGAATGATAAAAATGACAACACAGAAGAGGCTAGAAACTTTCAAGTAGCAAAGTAGAAACACCCCTTCCTGAATCCCATGCTGATACAATTAGAAACTGAAGAATTCAGTAAATAGTTTAAAGCACTCTATTCCAACAAAAATCCAACACCTTTTTAGTTAATTGGAGAAAATAGAGGAGGACCCACTAAGAACATAAACCACATGACAAATCTTGTAGAAAAAAAGCTGAAACTGGTTTTGACCATCGAAGAAGACACATTCAATGCAGGAATAACGATTTGTGTTATTTCTGCTATCAAAATGAAAGCCAAACAATGTTTCACTATTTTCTTTCATAGCCATATGACAAATCCAAAGCATCGCAGTATTTCTCAAAAGTTAACATGTTAAAACACTGCAGCAGTTTACTAGGAGAATGCAAGTCATAGTCCTAAATTTCCTGACTTGCTAATTGCAGAAAGAACCTTAATAGGCAAAACCAACACAACTGACCCAGAGACATCATCCTAAATTTGTTAACAGCTTGAAACAAACCTCAGGAATTAATTTTCTCTTGTTTGTTTGGTTTTTTTACATCGTGTTGATATTTGCTCATGGGGATATATGAGAGGAGACCTCCTCAGTGTATACTTCTCCATCTTTGTAAACTAGAAAAGATGGAAAAGAGAGGCAAACCCACAATGATGGGCTTCAACAAGGCTGATTACCCTCAGGCAAGTGATGATCATGGAAATAACATGTAACACTAATACATAAAAGTGTCAGTGAACAAGTGTACATAACCTTTACAAGATGGGAAAACCAGTGGTGTGATAGATTTGTAACTTTTATGAGGGGAGAGGGGAGAAGTAAAAAGCCCCCCCAAACCCTTTGAAAAACAAAAAAGAACAAGAATTTAGGAATTCAGTTCTCTAATCCCCCTCAGCAAGATTTCAAACTTGTGTTTGTGCAGATTAGATCTATTAATTTCCACTGATATATCTGATCACATGGCATTGGTGAATACACTCTGTTCATTTTAATAAAGTTGATAGGATACTCTGATTTCATGAATCTAAGGTTTTAGCATTTGGCAGTTATCCTTTACGTTATCCTTCAGTCATTCAAGATATCTAGTGTGGTTTGACCCTGTTCAGATGTAGATGGTTGGTTTTTCAATACAGCATGCTTGCTGAATCTAAAGGCTATTAAAAACTAAAAGTACAGAGTTTAATATCTATGTGAATGAAAGCTGTATTTCTCTGGAATTTAGTTATTTAGTAAATAATTTTGTCCCCTTATAAACTGGCTTTAGCATAAAGTTTTAAAACACATTATGCATAAATTTAATTACGTCAAAGTTCTACGAAAAGTCCAGCGTTATTGGTTGATTCTGTACTTCCCACGCTGCTCTGTTAGAGTATTGCTGCTGTAGATCTACCAGAACAGCTGTTTTTCCTTCCGCTTCCATCAGGTGGATTTGAAAAATTCTTAATCCAAACCACATACTTCAGAAACAGCTTGTGTTGGAAGCATACACAGGTATATTTACCCTAGCAGAAGGCATGATATCTAATAGCAACAGGAAGGACAGGGACTAGCAGGGAAAGAATCTTTCAACCTAGATGATCTGCATGAGAAAACAAAGGAAAGTTGGAAACAATTAATGGATGAACTGCATTTCTTGTCTTTGTAAAAGTAAAAATGCTTTTCTATTTATGTCTGAAATACTTTAAATCACTAACAAAAAAATCAGTAAAACAGAAAATCCAATAAAACTTTTCCTTTTGCTGTATTGTTTACAGTCCTCACCTATTTTGATTTAAATGGAATACTGATGTATTTTCTCTTTAAATAAATCCCAATTAGGACACAAAACTTACATTCATAAAACTTAATTTATGACTTCTGAAACAAATATTTTGTCCACTGAACTCCTAATAGGAATGCAGGATCCTTAAAAAAAATAAATTCAATACATTTAACCTTTGAAGATGTCTTTTCCAGTGCAGTAAAAATTATTACCAATGTGCTAGAGAGAACAAACTTTCACATGTGTAGATTTCAAAGGATCAAGAAGCACCTGCATGATTTATTTTAGTTTGAAATATGTTGAAGTACTGCCTGTATCAAAACCTTCTGAACATCAAATATTCCACTTCATTGGGAAGAAAAAACCTGTTTCACAGATCAAGTTCAGTCAAAAATAATTACCAACCTGCCTACATACTGGAGGGAAAAAAAGCTTGCCTATTTATCTTAAAATCACCTTCTCGGTGAGCAACTCTGTATTTATGTTTATTCACAGACCTCTAATGGTGAGAACAGAATCGTTCTGCCAGTACAGTGAGAAAAACCAATCTTTAGAACAACTTTTTTCTCAGAGTTTGAAAGGAAAGATACAAAAACCATGCACAGAGGAGACTGTAAGTTATTAAAGCACAGGTAACTAGAGCAAAAAAGAGTATCAGCTACATGTCCTTCACAACCAGGTTTTTTATGAAAAATCAATCTTTCAACTAATTTTCTGGAAAAAGAAGGTAGAAAATTATGGATGAGGCAATGGAAAAATCAGGGTATCAACAGCTTCAGGCTGGTCATCACATCCTGCTGAACCATCTGAATGATACAGCATCTACTGTAAAACATGTGATTTAGTATAAACATAGTGTATTAAAAAAAAAGATAAAAGATTCCCTGCATCTTTTAAAAAATAATTACTTGACACTACTGTGGCATTTATATCCCAGAGAAACAAAAAATAATCAAACATGGACTCTTTTTACAAGTGTGGAAGAGCAACATAGGAAACAAAGAGCAGCAATAACACTTAAAAGCATCAGCTAACAATACATTAGAGAAAGGGCACTATATTTTAAAGGACTAAAATGAGTCTTGTTGCAAGATGTAACACCACCAACAGTCCTCACAATCCCTTTCAAAGACACTAGCTAATAGCTTAACATTCACTGTAACCTGTTCTGTATGAAATTCTGATAGGGTATCCAGCTGTGGCTTATTTTCTTCACAATACTGAATAGGAAACTATTTCAAGAAAGCTAGTAAAAGCTCTTCACTTTTCCTAAATTAATAATATCATTAATTTCACTTAAATATTACAATTACAATTATAGAACAATTACATAAGAATGGTCCTTTATAAGAAAAAACAACCTTTAGCTATTTTCCTGTGAAAAACGTAGAAGTATTTTTATTTGTAATTTCAGATTCAACTTTTCAGGTAAAAAAACCCAGGGCACAACGCCCTCACTACAAGAGCTTGATTATTACTAATGTTTTGAGATACATCAGCATCTCAAGACCAACCAGTAACTGGAAATTATGTTAAACATACACAACAGGATATCACTTCAAGACAGGCATTTCTTGCAATTTTGAAATTAATTCTTAATTCTTAACACTTGCACCTATAGAAGTGTTCACATACAACATTTTCTGCATTTCTAGTTAATAGCTATGGTGAATACCTTTGAATGCCTCAAAGTCTTTGCTTCAAAGGCAGACTGTCAAACCAGTACCAGCATCTAACAGCCAAATACTATCTCAGCAGGCGACAGTACACCAAAACTAGTGTCCCATAAACCATGGGATCATAAAGAGAATTAAACTACTTTTCATTAACTTTTACAAGAAACTTCAGAGCTCTCATTAAAATTCCCTTTCTTTTCTTCACATTCACATGTTTTAGGCACATTAAGATGAAGGCCCTGGGTTTTTTTCCCCTTTTTATATATAGATTATGAGAATACTTATTTTGGAGAAAATTGATGGATTAATTACATGGTCTTTAGAAATCTATTTACAGTACAGCAAGCAATGGTTTTATCTAAAGAAAACAATTTTAAGATGGCAACAGCAACTTACAGAATATATTAAAAATACATGAAATACAATATTATTGTTCAGAAAATATGAAATTATTAGTTTACTTACATTATGATTCTTCTGTTCAGGAACCAATATTTCCGTCTATGCCTGTCATATCCAATAGGTTCATGTCGAATGTATGGTTTATTTTTTTGGATTTCAGCAACACAGTCAGTTACTCCAGGCACCTTATGTGCTACGCAGACCTCACACTGCCATTCATCTTCTGGTACCTCTTCAAGAGGTGGTTTCACACACTCCAAATGGTACACAGCTGAGCAAGTTTCACAGCAAAGCAAATCCCCAAGTTTGTGACAAACCCTACAATGATCATCATACTGAATAACACCTTCTGACATTAACTCTTCACGTGCAATGTTTGTTGTAAGAAACTGATCCACTAAAAACTGCAGAACTTTGATTTTATTCTCTACTGGTCCATAAGGATAGTCCTCTGTCTCTTGGTAAGGAAGAACATGATGGTATTCCTTGTCACTCTCACAATATACCCGCAGAACCTCTGGCCACGTCATTCCATCTATGAAATACAAAGTGGAATTAACGCTATCTTTGAGGTCAGCAGGTCCAAAGGTAGTATTTGAAGTGTCTTCTTCACGTAAAACTGCTTTTAAAAGCACTATATGCATCTCTGCCATAAGGGTGCACTGCTCTTGACTTACCAGAGCAGCACAGAAGTCCTCAAAACGAAAAGGAGAGAGGCGTAAAACAGTGCCAAAGTTCCTTAGTACCTCATAGATGGCAATAACATTCATTATATGCTCACTAGGCACCATTAAGTCCTCTGAGGATTTAGGAAACTCCAAGGGTGGGATATCTTTTTCTTCCAATATTGGAGAACGAGGACGATGCACTCTTTGTCTTCTCCTACCTGGAATAAAAAACAACAGTAAGAATACTGCCATTCAGAGATCAACATGTTTAAACATCTATCATCAATGACTATGTCAAACTTTCTAAACTATCGCAAATTAAGGATTCACATCTTCACCCTTACATAGATGTGATAATTCAGCTAATAATCTTATACTTTAATTAACAGTATGAAAATAAAAAACCCCACAAGATATCTGAAGTTTTGCTTTAGGAACTTAGAGCAGTTGCATTTCCCATATAACATACTGAATCTTTAAAACGATATCTAGAATTTTAATTGTTTAAAAGAGTTAGAGACAGACATTTCCCTTAGCCAAAATATTAATTTAGAATTTCTACTCATTCAGCATGACTAGTTTATCATTCCTTCTTGGAATTTTAACTTTAAACTTGAAGCATCAAGCTTCAAATAACAGATCTTTTGTATTAAAATATTGCAAGCTATACTCCTATCCAGCAATAGTATACAGGAAAGATCATTTCAAGCAGATGTCTTAGGACATCAATTTCAACCAAATTGAAATACAAAACAGAACCTAAATCACTTTGTACACTGCTTTCTAACCAGACATGAAAGTTAAATGCAATGTTTTATGAAAATGCTTCAGGAACTCCCAATATTGCAAAACAAAACAAACAACCCCACCCCCTTGCTTCAATAAATCAGGAGAGATATCCACAGAATAGAGAAGGAGGTAGAATTATGGAAGGACAAACCTTAACACAGAAAGCTAATCTGAAGAGCTGTCCCACTGCCTAAAACAAAAGACACTGAGCATAATTAATTCAGTCTCAGATGCTAATTCAGATGGGATGTCTCCCTTTTTCCCCTTTAATTCCACTATCCTTGATGCCAAGCAGAAGGAAAAACAAGAGAGGAAAGTTTCTGTACCTAGCACTACTAGACAGATTAAATATTTCAATCTTCTAGCAAAATAATGAAAAAGTATCCAGCTACATGGAACTATTTTGCAGCTATCAGTTGAAGTATTAGGATGCACTCATTAAATCTACTTCCTTTTTTAAAAAAAACCCCAATCAAGCTTCAACTATCCCATAAACATCTTGGTTTAAAACCAAGAACTGAAATGAAAACTGGTTTTAGGTCCACTTGTAAGCATATTAAGATTTTGGTCTACAACTGAATTTCATAATTATCAATTCTATACAGAAAAGTGGTTGGCAGGATGCATTTTATTCAGAGAAAATCCAAAGGAAAAAAAAGCTACCCATAATAGCAATTTCATATGGATACTTTAATAAAAAGAGACATATATTACACATTGTGTGATCTGACTGAAGAGTGACACAAGCAGTACTCTGGAATTTTAAAATTTCACATTAATAATTTTTTGATCAAATTCTGTGCATAAGATAACTGCCCCCTCCCAATTGGCTCAATGAAATTAAGAGATAAAGTAAATTCCAATCATCTCAGATGCTACCATTAAGATGAAATTGTTCTCTGTGGCATTTGTTGAACCCACCCTACTCCCTCCAATACTCCCATAAATACAGGAAATAAATCTAATAGGGAGTAGGGGAAAAAAACCCAACAAAAGTCCTGCTAAGTCAAGCAGATAACCAAAGACAGATCCTGCTGAATCTAAACCCACCATCATTAAAACTTTAATTCACCAAAAAGGGAAAAACAAGTTATCAAAAAGAAAAGCTACCTTTAAGAAACATCTTGATGTGTAACAGACAGTTTGCCAAATGATTCTAGAAGAAAAATAAATCAATCTTTGAGCTAGTATGGCAAGATGACACCAGATACATCTTTCCCTCAAACTTTAAGGAATGAAATCTTATGCAACAAATTAGACATTCTGAAACAATATAGAAGATGAACTGCCAGATGTTTCCATTACAGAAGTAATGGGTCAACATCATCTGCGTATAAAAATAAATTTCCAAGTTTAGTTAAGTTTGAGTTCTGACTGTGGAAAATGAAAGAATGCTTGTATGAATGTCTTCCAATATGCTTCTGCACAAATCAGTGGAAAATGTTTTAATCATGGCAAACACATAAAAACATGGGAGTTTCACAGCCAGGCACAAAGCAATCGTTCTTACAGCAAGAAATATCTAGATTAAACCCAACTTCTCCATCACTGGGATCCAAAAAATCATATATGCATAAACCAGAGTTGCTTTAATTAAAAGACTCCAAAGCAGAAAAAACACACGTGCACACTCACAGATTAAATTATTTCAGGGTTCTGAAGTTTCCTTCAATACGGCAGGACAGCGTAGGACCAGTCCTAGTAGGCTGTCATGCAAGACAACAACAATGCAGAACAGATATTCTGAAATCACTCATGGTCTTCACAGAGTCCAAATATCACAAAAAGCTGGCAGAGCTATAAACTAGGATCCTTTTCAGTGTTTGCAATTGCAGCAGAAAAACGTGTCTGTCACACAGTAAAGCCATAAAAGAAACAGCTCTTCAAGGAAGAGAGCAGCAAGAATGATAACCTTGGTTTACCTAAATTAATCAGAAGTGACAACCCCTCCAAGTAATTTCAGGCAAAGATAAACTAGAAAGAAGTAACACTGCTGAAAGAAGCAAAGACTCCTTATTTCCTCGCATTTGTTGAGAATTTCTACCCTAAGAACAAAATTATAATTGGCCTATGCATTGTTTTTATCGTTCACTGAAAAAAAAACTAGATCCCCATACGCCATCTTTGTTGATGTCTCTTTCACAAGAGATAAGCACTGGTATATTTTTTACATCAAATTAACGGGAGAAGCAACAAAAGAACCTTAAAACTAGTAATTCTTGTATTTTCTGAAAAAAGTTAAAAAAATTCTCTAACACTTCCTCTTACAAAGGAAGGATATTGGTGCAATTAGAGATCTAGAATAAACAGGTTATCAGGACACAAAGTATGTCACAATACCATCATAAAGAATTGGACTTTGGTGCAAGTACAATGTAACTGTGTGATTGCATTATTCACACCACTCTTCACCTTCTATTTCACTCAATTTACATATTTTCATATTTGCTTTGGTATAAAGCACAGAAATTTCAAAAGTAATTGAAAAACTGATAGTTTAGACAATAAGGGAAAACATTGCGTTATAAAATGCACACTTCATCTGTCCACTACTTAGTGTAACGCCTCACAGTATGCAGCACAGTTTTGACGCCGTACCACTCAACACTCCCAATCCACACTGTAAATCACACCCCACATCTCAAAAGCTCAAATAATTTCTCTTTTCAGACACCAAACTGCTTTGAACAATTCAGCACTGTATATAATCTGGTTTCCAGAGCTAAAAAAGCAAAGTATTCAAAGTTGTAGAATATTTTAGAAAGAAATGCTACCTAGACAAATTTTTCTTGAATGGCTTGGTGGCATAGTATTTCATATCTATGTTTTGTTTTGTTTTTTTTTTTTTTTCTTTCCAATTCCACTTTCAATTTGAAATTGATATTTGCTGTCCTAGGTTGAACAGAATCTGAAGTCGGGAAAAGGATCACAAAGTGTGATATGGATATTCAGAAATTCCAAACAATTTGTGCTTAAATGTATTACTATTCGATGCATCAACTGCAAACTCAAGAAACACTCCATATACCTGTAAAAAACTAACACACACGTCAAACCAAACCAACAAAACTGAGCAGCCTAATCTCCAGTGAAAAAGATGGACGTTCTCTGCCAAGGTGCTCATAAATCTTGAAGCATTCTAAGTGGCTGCTGAACTTCAATTAAAAGGCCAACGGAATATGATATAATGATGTCAAAGTGCTGGGGTCTATGGTTTTTGTATTTTTGCATTCTAGGGGTTGGCTGGATAACCCCCTCCCTTGCCATTAGCCCAGACAGCTGAAGAAAGGCAGTTTTGAACTCCAAATAAGGACTCTAGGCTTGTTGGCAATTCTGATAATAACAATATCTTCACCACTAATCATCTGCAGTGTGCTGACATCCCATAGAGCTCACACTACTTAGAAGCAGCTTCAACTTCTGTGAAGGTTTCTGAAGATCACAGTTCATGTTTACCCAACTGTTCCTTCATACACACAAAAAAATCCCTCAAATTTTGAAAAATGTTTTCCTACAATAAGCATATCCAACTTTTCAAGCTCTTCACTTTCAAGGAAAAAAAAGTCTCCTCTCTTCCACAAAGCAAATTGTCTAATGCTTGAATCTGACATCCACTCGTGGACAAAAAACCCCCAACCAAACCCAAACAACTTTGGTCTCTGCAAACATTTATACATTCAAATTATTTCATTTTACTTTTATTTATTTTAGAGATTCTGGGATTTGACAACAACTTTTTTTTTTTTTTCTTCTTTATTTTTTGTCATTCATCATGGATTTTGCCCTCCACAGGGAATTTTGAGTACTATCTGTGAGAAAAAGCATTAACCGAATTTAATCAAATTGATTAAATAATCAATTTAATTACTTCAGTGTAAATATATGAGGGAAGTACAAGCTTGTGTAGACTATGTAACTGATGATTACACAGTAACAAAGTTATTTTGCTTTGAGATACTACATATGTGTGTTACATTAACTTGTAGTCAAAATAACAACATGGAAGTGAAATAGTGTAACAAAGATTGCACTGCAACGATCACATTCAGCAGTCACAATTACACTGTTGCTGTCTCTCCTTAACTTTCTATTACAGCTTCACCTACTGCTATTAACATTTTTCAATTTATCTTGGTATAGTTTAAATAATTTTGGCTAAATCATTTTTATAATTTGCCCTGAAAAATTTCCCATTTGTGGAAATATCCTCTCATAGCAGCAGGTTTTTTTTCTTTTTTGCTTTATGTAGAAAATGCAATATGTACTACTTTCTAAAACAAAAAACTTGAAGAGGGTTTCAGAGCAGGTGTACTAGCACCTGCTAGAAGAAGTAACTTCTCCTTCAAGCACCACCACCACCTGACTGAACGAACTTCAAACTAATCTACATGTATCTACTCCAAAAGAAGTCAAATTACTCACACTGAAG